CTCTACCTCCACTTTACAGATGAGGAAACTGAGGCTACTATGGCATTTGAAGTAAAATTCAAACTCAAATCTTCCTAACTCCAATTGCTCTATTTACTTTGTGTAACCCCTTTTGGGAGTAGGGACTCCTTCATGTTGTTTTTTCATCCCCAGCACCCAGAAATGCCTGACTGGTACTATCAATCAATCAATATTTATTAAGCACCTACTATGTGCTATGTGGTAAACAAATGCTTGCTCATTGATTGATTAGGTATATTTGGATCAGCCTCATTGTCTACCTCATTACACAGGAAGATATAATTTTTTATTTTTATTTTTTGTAATTGAAAAGTGTTGGGAAGTCAGCTTGTCTTGTGTAGGCCCACTGGTGGACCACTCTAGTAGCAGATGGGGTGGGTGACAGGGTTGGTCTGTGTATTGTCCTATTCCTACAAAACTCTCCTGTTTTCCTTTAACTCTCTATATTTTAAGAGCTTTTCATTTCATGTACTTTGGAGGTTATAAATAACCAGGGCGGCTGCATCTATTTAAAATGTTATTCTTGAGTTTTCATGGGTCACTGTTATATGTGGGAAATTGTGGGCAATAGTTTGGTCTGTAATAATGGTCTAGTTTCAAAGAGTTTATTTATTGAATTCTCAAGGACATTTTCAGGCTTGTATTTTTAGCTTGGGAATTCATCATTGGTTAATTTATGAATGTTAGAGAGTTTCTGATCACATGATCATGCCTTTCTAGGTTTGTGATAGGTATCAAACTGTTATACTACTATACTACTATTTCCTTGAAAACATGAATTTATTATTATTTTATCATTGCCTCATTATGCTCTTATTCAATGAAATTCAGATAGAAATGGTCTTGGGACAAGTTGCTAACTTGCTCTCCTTGTTTGTATGTATGTATGTCTGTGTGTGTGTATGTGTGTGTGTATAGTATGTGTATAGTATGAGTACATATATATATATACACAGATAAGAATTTATTTGCATGTATACATATACATATATGCACAATGACGGCTTAGTTCTTGCCTAGACCACACAAGATGCTATCACCTACGTGGAAGATAGGAGAGGATCTGTTTTGGGGAGACTGGAGGGCTGGAGTATGTATGTCTTCTTTATATTGGTCTACCATGTGGCTGAGGGCAACTTTTTCCATTGGCTGAATGGAAGGAGCTGTCGGCCTTTTAAAAATGGCCAGACACAGTAACTGTGTGGCTTTTTTCTGCATTTATTTCTGAGGTTGAAGGAGTCCATTACTCCCAGCAATTAAAGCCATGTGTCTAAGGGGAAGGCCTTACAACTGCCTCCTCCATTGGGCCTCCAATTTGGCCTAATGTTTTGGACCTCTTCCTCATTATTTTCTGTTCTAGGTGTAGGTAGTAGTATTTGTGTTTTGATACAGGAGCCTGAGTCATAGAGACCCAGGAGTCCAGGAAACCAGGCTGAGTGTTACATCCAGAGGGGCAGTGAAGCCTAAGGTTCAAAGTTCCTGGGATGTCACTGGAAGGGTTTTGGGCTTGACGTTGGTGGGATGCATCCTATGGAGGAACTGAGCCTCCTTCTCCTCCCCTTTCCTCACCAGCCAGGTAGGATTATACTCTCCAGGTATTGGAAAAATGCTTGTATGTTTGTTCTTGCTATATCTTTGAAGTAAATTTCCCTATATAAAACCTAAACTGATATGAAGTGGTTATAAGGAACTGGGGTAGTAGTCACTGGACCCTAAAATACCAACACAATTGGTAGGGGATTGAGCCAATGGCAGAGAAGAAATCTCCCCAACCCCTTCAGGCACCAAAAAAATATTGAGAGGATAGAATGTTACAGGCCTGTCTCATAGAGGGTGGGCTCAGAACAACTCATGTCATGTAAATGATATTCTATATAGTATTGCTCTGGTGACCAAGTAGCGGTTTAAAAAAAAAAACATCGAATGAAAGCATTGGTGTGTCAGCTCATCTTTGGCTGGGTCACTAAAACATGATCAGAAACAGACAGGATGACAGCAGTGTTCCATGAATACATAATACATATACACATGCTGGTATGTACACATGCATGCTCACATAGGATATCCCAGATACTCCGTTTTCTCTTCTTAAATGGAGATAATAAATACCTGCAATTCCTATTTCATTTGCTTGGGTATTTTAAGTGCTTTGTAAATCTACTTTTTTTTTTTTATGAATCAGGTAGAGGGGCAGCTAGGTGGTGCAGTGGATAGAGCACTGGTCCTGAAGTCAGGAGGACCTGAGTTCAAATATGGCCTCAGACACATAACACTTACTAGCTGTGTGACCCTGGGCAAGTCACTTAACCCCAATTGCCTCACCAAAAAAAAAAAAAAAGACTAAAGGAATCAGGTAGAAACAGTCCAAAACGAGTCACTATCCTGCTATTATTCTTTTATATTTACTATTTAATGGATTCTTGTACAGTTGAATAAAATAATTGCTTTTTCAAAATTGAGTATTATTATGAAAATTGAGTATCATAAGAGAATTAGGATGCACACTCATCCTCTACAGGCTCATTGAAAGTATTGTCAGGACAATTCTAGGAGTAGGCAGCATGATAGGGCTGCCATGGAACTCTTAGCTGCCTACATGGTTTTCATTTCTTCCACTAGGTGTATGTACTGTGAAAACTTTTCATTTCATACCATTTGGAGATGACAAATATCTGATATGGCGGCATCTCTTCAAAATATTTTGCTTTTATGGATCAATGTTCTGTCCGGAGGTTGGTGTACAACAGTTCTGTCTGTAAATGGCTCTGGTGCACATCTCATTGGTATTGTGATCATTTGGGATAAGAAGCCAACTGCTGGAGAGAATGTCCATGTGGAGGAGATCACAGATCCATTAGAGCATTGCGGTTACATTCTCCTTCTGCTTCTTTTCACGTCAATGGTGTGCGATGGAGCCTTGCTTCTTGTCAAAGAGAGCAGCAGCCTCCCCATGTTTCCTGCCCCATCAGCTCTCCAAAAGACCAGGCACTCGTTGCTGTTTCACATCCTCTTTCACCCTCAAATAACCTGACTAGAAGGTTGAGTGTTGATGACAAAGCAAAATAATATCTTAAGGGCAAATGGTCAAATGAAGGCATGAAGCATCCCCACCAAAGTGTAGAGACAGAGAGAGAGCCTTCAAAAGAAGAAATGAAACCGGTTGACTTTTTATGATGCATGTCAAGCTAATCTGTCCAGGATAGAAATGACGTTGGAGGCATTTGACAAAGTGCACAGGTTGTCATGCTATTACACAATCAACAGAAAGCCATTGAGTTCAAACTTTCAACAAATACGTGTTGAGCGTCTTGTATGCACAAGGAACCATGCAAGAAGAACCAAAAATGGGGACAGATGTCACTCTTAAGGAGATCAAAGTCTAATGGGTTGGGTGGGTGGGGAATCACCCTGTATACAAATAAGTATGATGAAGAACAAAATGAGATCATGGCACAGGGGATATTCAGACAAAATGCCACATGTAAATCGGTGGAGAGAGAGAGCTCACTTTCAGCTGGGGACGATCAGGGGCTACTACATACTGATACTTCATCTTGGCTTTGAAAAAAGGTTTTTTACAGTGTTGATGAAAAGGGAGTGACTATCATGCCTGGAGGAGACAAGGAGGGATGACAGTTTGGAACAAGATGGAGAACAGCTAGTGATCTTGTTTGTGAGAACTGATTCCTGGGAATTTGGAATGATTGAAGACTAAGAGAAAGCAAGCCATGGTGAATTCTGGTTCTTATTCCAAGACTCCTGGAGGCAGTGGGATAAAGTGGGTTGGTGCCAGAGGATCTGGGTTCAAATTCTTCTTCTGACACTGCCTATGTGAACTTGGGTAGATTATTTAGTTACTCTGAACCACAATTTCCTCATTTGCAAAAGAAAGGTCTTGGATTAGATGATCTCTAGGGTCACTTGTGGGCAGCTAGGTGGTACAGTAGATAAAGCACTGGGCCTGGAATCAGAAACACTCACTATCCTGGCTTCAAATCAGGCCTCAGACACTTACTAGCTATGTGATCCTGAGCAAGTCACTTAACCTTGTTTGCCTTAGTTTCCTCATCTGTAAAACAAGGAAATGGCAAGCCATTCGAGTATCTTTGCCAAGAAAACCCCAAATGGGGTCATGAAGTGTTGAACATGACTGAAATGACTCAATAACAACAACATCAAGGTCCCTTCCAGTTTTCCTTGACCCCTTTCTATCTCTCAAGCTTCCTTGGACATTTCTCTTCTTCGTGTAGTCTAGCCATCTTAATCTGCATGAAGGAAATAGCAAGGGAGTCAGGGGGCCTCAGCTACGTGATCCATTTGCTTCCTCTCTGTCTCGGCACTGTTGCCCATTCCTGGAATACTATTCCTTATCAGCTCTGCCTCTTGGGGTTCCTAGCTTTATTCAGGATTCAGCTCCAGCACCATGTTCTGTAGGAACCCTTTCCTGACTTCCCAGTGCTGCTTCTCCAAGGTGCCCTTCTGTATAGGTATATATGTATTCACACACATATGTATGTATATATGCATAGATGTGTATATATGCACACATATGCACATATGTTGTTTATGTTTCTATAGGTGCATATTGTTTCCCCTATTGCAGTGTAAGTCTTTTCAGGGCAGAGACAATTTAATTTTGGTGTTTGTACCCCCAGTGACTGTTACAGGCTTTATAATTGCTTGTGGAGTATTGATTCCAGTTATCAATCTGTAACTACCTGAAACCTTTTACTCATTCCATCCTGATAGTTCCTTATCTGTGAAGTGAACTAAACTACTTAAAATGAAAAGATAAAAATTAGGGGTTTTTTTGGCTTGTTTTTATTTGGGAATGTTTTAGGAGGGAATGTTTACTAGGAAAACACACCACTAAACTTTTGCCTTAGTTGTCAGTGTTAATAGATAAGTAAGACATTTCCAAAGAACTTTTTTAGTAAGAAAAGGGAATAAAAGTCAATCAATCAGTATTTATTGTGTTCCTCTTACATAACCTACAATGTGCTGATCCACAAATCCCATAGGAGAAAGTCACTGCCTGTTCTCAGGGAGCTTCTGATCTGTTGGGGAGAAAAGAGAAATAGACACGAAATGGCACTACTCATGGCTATGCTGGTCTATTGGCTGTTCTACTCACATGACACTCCATCTCCCTTTCCTGTGTGGTGGGAGATAATACTTTTAATCCTTACCTCACAGGGTAGTTGTAGTCAGAATCAAATGGAAAGCACTTTGTCAACTCCAAAGTGCCCTTGAAAGGTGAGAAACTATTGTGGTCAAAGATGTTCCCTCCCTGATGGTAGGGCTGGCAGGATGGCATTATCACTATGCCTGTGTAACCCCTGTCCAAGAGCCCATTGATATAGGATGCTTTCCTTACTGGTGGAGATGAAGGCCCTGCCCTGCATGAGGAACTGAGTGGAGTTGGTCAGAAGTGACATAGCTCACATTTTCCCTAGTGATTCTTCAAACTTTAAGTTGTCCTTGAGTACTCCTCTCTTCCAGCTTTAAGAGAGAAGATAGAAGAGGTCAACACCACTTCAAGCTGCTGAAAGAAAAGACTCTGGGAAGACGTGAGAGGAACTGGCAGTCTCCATCATGTCCATATATCTATCGTATTGCTACTCTGGAAACTTTGGGGAGTTTTCCCCTTGGGTGAGATCAAGGACTCTCTTTTATGGTTGAGCTGAGTTATCTTACTTCCAACAAGAGGGCTTCTTCACTTTATATTGTTCAGTAAATATTCTTCTATGCAGATCAATCATAATCTAGCTTGCTGGGCTCTTTGATCTCATGATCCTTGTCTTGTCTCTGAGCCCCTACAGTGCACAAACGGAACTGTGTGGTTTGTTCTTCTTTCTTGAAGAGGACCATAACAACAGGGAGATGATGACATGACTTGCAGTTGACTTTGATTTGAATGAGGGAGGGCTGTCCCAGGTCTTTCTCCTCCAGAGCCATCTGGGTCAGGAACAGTGGAGACCAACCAGGATGCAGTGGGAGACCTTGGCCCTTTTAAACTAAGGTCTTTTCAGGTTTTCAATTTCAGTGAGGCAATACACATTCAGTGAATAGGTCTCTTTAAGACATGAGTCAAGGGGTGACCCCTTCAATTAAAAAATAAATAAATAAAATAAAAATCAAACCGGGAGGGGAAGATCCTCAGGGTTGCTGGCCAAAAGAGAAACAGTTACTGTTTATATTCACTCTGAACCTGGACGGCCCAAATAATAACCATTAAGTGGTGCTTGGGCAGGGACCTATTGTCCAAACCATAAGTTCAAAAGTGAATTGGATTTAAGGCTTGGTCTTTGAGAGAGAAATCTAGCCAGAAAATCCTAAGTTAACTATGTAGCTTTTAGCCATCAAAATTTACCTTCCCTTGGTAGAACACCCTCAGGTAAGGGGAGAAGAGAGGAGAGGAGAGGGGAGGGGAGGGGAGGGGAGGATGGGACAGGATGAGCTGAGTTGCTCAAGTGGAACTGGCCACTTGGGTCTCCATTCAGCCAGCTTGGACTCCTCACAGGTTGCGGTTTGTCCCTCTCCAAGAGGCTATCTTCCACACAACTGTCTCAGTGATTTTCTTGAAGCCGCCCTCTGAACATCTCACTCTCATGTTGAATCGGCTGCCTATTGGCATCAATGATAAAATATACACTCTTTTGTTTGGCTTTAAATCTCTTCGCAGCTTAGCGCTCAACTCATCTGTGAGGCTCATTGCATATTTCTTCCCCATTCTATAGTCTAGCCTTTCTGGCCTTCTCTGTACTTCAAGCATCACACTCTGTTTTTCAGTTCTGTGCTGGCTGCCCCCTTTCCTTGAATACACCTCTTCCTCATCTCTATTTCACCGCATCCCTCTCTTCCTTAAAGATACAGCTCAAGTACCATCTTCTAGATGATGATTTTCCAGTTGGTAGTGTACCCTAGGACAACTAGGAGGTACAGTGGATACAGCACTGGGCCTGAATTCAGGAAGACCTGAGTTCAAATCCAGCCTCAGATACTTAGTACCTATGTGACTCTGGGCAAGTTACTCCACTCTGTTTGCCTCAGTTTCCTCATCTGTAAAATGAGGTGGAGAAGGAAATGGCAAACCAGTCCAGTATCTTTTGCCAAGAAAGCCTCAAATGGGGTTGCGAAGAGTCAGATGTGACTGAAACGACTGAACAATAAAAAGCATACCCTTTCTCCCTGACCACCTTGTATTTAAATACTTTTATTTGTATGTATTGTCTTTACATGTATTCTATATATACTTACATGTGAGACAAAGGCCGTTTAGGTTTGCAGTTTGGGGACTTAAATACAGGAGTGAGGAATCCCTTCCAAATTTAGTGATGCCACAGCCAAGATAATATACATGTGTGTCATTGCCAAATTTGTTGGAGGGCATGCTAGAGTTTTCTTTCCACCATCAGGGCCTTTGAGAACATTGAGTCATTCCCCTGCCACCATGAAATATGGGAATTTACCCCTGGAGTGACCAAATGAATCTTTTATTCATGACTAAAGATCACATGTAACCACAACCCAAACCAAGCTCAAATTTACCTAAATAATATAAAGTCTAACACCTACAGTTATCTCCACGAAAGCCACAGGTGGTAGCAGAAAGGGAGTCCTGTTTCATGACACCCCAAAAATAGCACATAGAGAGCTTCATCTATGGGTTGGTTCCTATTTCTAGTCTTGACTCATGAATGGGGTTGAGAAACCATGTTGAGGTGCCAAGGCCAATCAGACTAACATGAGACAAAACAGGAATGGAAGTTCCACAAGAAAAATCCAAAGTTAGAAGGGGAAAACACCTCCAGTTAATGGTCAGCTTATTTTGTTCATTGTTGTTGTTACATAACAGTTTGCAGCACATAGATTATTTCTTTCATCCCATATTTGCCTGTGCACTAATTTGATGGCTCCTCTCTTCCTGGAAGGGTCCTTTGAGAATTTGAGATTTTCCATTGATGGTGTTCAAAAGCCAGAGAGTTCTCACTCCAACAAATCTTTGTGGTACAAAAGTTGACCTATTTTCTTCTTTCACCCCAGTTACCGTGTAGTTCATTGCCAGGTTTTTTTTTGACTGTCATACCCAGAGACTACTATGATGATCCCAGAGTGTTTATCTTATTGCTACAAAAATCACCGACAGGGTAGTACAAATGGGCTATGCAGTGGGCCTTGAATGGAATAGCAAGAGAATCTCATGGAAATAATTAGAGCTGATTTTCAGCTCTCTGCTCCACATGATATACATGCATGGAGCTGGATGCATGCTGTCTCCTCCAGTATACTGTGAACTGTTTGAGTGTTGGGACTGTTTTTGCTATTGTTGGTATCAACAGTACCTGGTAAATAATTAATGCTAGTCAATGACTTGAAGTGATGTATGCACTCTGGCTGTCATTCTCTTTTTTCCCCCTCTTATCACTTTCCTTCACCTCAAACTTTAGACTCTGCACCTTGGCTGCCCAATTCCAATAGGTAAATATTTAATGAATTCTCTCTCTCTCTCTCTCTCTCTCTCTCTCTCTCTCTCTCTCTCTCTCTCTCTCTCTCTCTCTCTCTCTCTCTCCCCCTCCTCCCTCCTCTCTACCCCACTCTCCAGCATATGTCTCTCTCTCTCTTCTCCCCCCCCACTGCCCCATATGGACAAGTCATTTTTCAGTATCCCAGTATCCCAAGGGCAGTGATGCCCACTCTCGCCCTTCTCCTTGGTCCTGGGCCCAGCCCCTTATCTTTTCATAGTGCATTTCCAAGACAGATGTTCTGACGGACCAATCCAAGAGGCTTCAAATCTGGCTGCATGGCATAATCTGGTCCACAGGAATCTTTCATTCACATATTTTTTCCACGGGGAAAAACTGAGGCCAAGAGTTGGGTTTGAGTAAACCAGGGTTATCAAACCCCCATCATTCAGCTACCAATACTCCTGAATATAGAGAACCAGATTAAAATGGAATTGGGTAATATCTGACAAAATAAATAAAATACATTTGATCTTAGTCAATGTGTGGCCTGCAGAGATCCTTCTGTATAATTTAGTGGCCCCTGTTTCTATTTGACTCGGACACCCCTGGAGTAATCAACCCCAAGGCCCCATCTCCTTCTAAATCTCTGATCTCTTGATGTTTCAAAAACCCCTAATATGAGGCCTCAAGGCCAAGAACCAGCCTTATGAGGCCATCCTAAGTTATATGGCCCCAAATCTGCAAAACTAAGAGATACAAAATGAAATGCTTCATTCCTGTTCAGCCTCACAAAACAGGGAGCTAATCCCCACGTGCCCCACTATAACCTCTTTTATGATGAATGAGTTGGTCTCCTTGCCTCAGGCCTCTCCCCACTCCAGTCTGCCCTCCAGTCTGCTGCCAATGGGATTTTGCTAAAGCTCACTTCTGACCATGCTGCTCTCCTACTCAAGAAGCTGCAGCCATCCCCTTTTGTCTAGGACCAAATAGAATGCCCTTGTTTGGCCAGATATCTCTCCACAGCTTGGTCCCATCATACCCCCCAGCCTTCTTGCCCGTTACTCCCCCCCCCCATCCTCTAGGGTCCAGTCAAACCTGCCTTCTCAGTGTTCCTCACACACAACACTCCATCGTCTTGTCCACTGCTGCACATTTGCATTGGCTATACCCCAGATTCCGAATTTGCTCCATCCTCATCTCTACCTCTTAGAATCTCTGGTGTACCAGAATCATCTCGGGACTGCACAACCTCCTAGTGTCTTTTCTCTCTCCTGAAGTTCCCCTTGCACGTATTTTATGTATGGTGCATTTTGCCCCACCCCCACCTCCATTCTTTGTATCTGCCAAAGCTTCCACAGCCTGGCACAAATGTTCATTGGTTGCCTCATTAATTGAATGATGATACATACCTGAGACTCATAGAGATGAAATGATTATAGTTATAGAACAAATAAATGTCAGATGAAGGGTTCAGACCCAGGTCCTGCTATTCCAAGCTATGGAGGCTTTAACTGATATCTCACAGACTTTCTAAGACAAATATCGTTATCTCACTTTCTCATATGTCTTGGCAGTTTCATAACCTTTTCAAGTACATTATTTGGGAAGTAGTGTAGTACCATGGAAAGTACACGGGTTGGAAAGTCCAAGGACACCTGGGTTTAATTCTTGCCTCTGCTGTAACCTTAGGCAAGTCATCTGAACTACCTGAGCCCCAATTTCCTCATCTACAAAGTGAGATTAAACCAGCTGTCCTCTGAGTTCCTTTTCAGCTCCAATGTATGGCCCTGGGATCTGACTCCAAACAATCCTATGGGTAGAATAGATGTTAGGACAAAGTTTTGAAAATGAGGAGACCGAGTCTAGGGAAAATGAAAGGATTTGACTATGGCTGTACTAACCTTTTTGGGGGAAGAATAGAAGGGGGTCCACATCCATGATTGTGCTGATATGCCCAAACTCCTTTTATGGAAACTTTTTCACCATACCAAGCTCAGGAAATTATCTATAGTGTGCAGAGTATGGAGCTCAGAATCTGGCTTGGGTTGAAATTCTGATTCTGATTCTTGCTAGGCAAGTTCTTTAACTTCTGTAAGCCTTAAGTTTTCTCATTTGTAAAATAGGGCTAATCATGTCAACACAGTACATCACAGTGGAATGAAATAAGATAATATAAAAAGATGTGAAAAATCTCAAATGTAAGCATCAAATTCCATAAAAATGAAACTATTGTGATTAATAGTGACCCTTTCCCCTGACCTGTGACTGAGTGGTGTAGAGAAGTGCATGTGGGAACACTCCGAGTCATGTTCCTCACCGTAGTATTTAGAGAGATTCATGGACTTTCCTGGACTCATGTAACAACACAATTCACAGTTGGAACTTGTCACCAAGTCTTCCTGATTTTAAGCCTGGTGTTACAGCCCTCGCTCCAAGTTGCTCATTTCTTTTTGGCTCAGTGCAATTGCCATAGGGGAAGAGTATGTGGTCGGAGACATAGGGAACTTCCAGTGTGGGTGGAAACACTCTTTGCCAATAGGTTGAGGATATAGTAATTAGGCCCTAGGGAGTTACCAAAGCCATATGGAGATTAAATGAGTGGCCCCGGGCATACCCTAAAGAGGGGTGAAGAAAGATGCAAAGATTGAATTGCATCTTCCTGATTCCAATTCTGGGACTCTAGCCACTATTTTTTACTGCCTCTCCAGCCAGATAGTAGCCTAGCAGAATGATATTTAAGTGGGAAGGAAAGTCCACTCCTGCTCAGGGGAATTGTCCCTACCCTCTGTGATTTCTGAGCTGCCACTACAATTGAACAGAAGTGGAGCATGTACAAACCTGTGGTACCTGACAACAATCACACTCAGGAAATCCTGGCCCGATACATTCCCCTTTCAATCTGTCACACTCATCGGTGCTTTGATGACCTTTTACTTTCTTTTAGGTTTCTTATATTACAAAGTTTTAGGCACTTTAATTGATTTTTTTGCTAAAATTTTTTTTTTTATGATGTTACTAGCAGCAAGGAGGCATCTTTTTGAAGCTAGTCCCAAAGTTGGCCTTGAGGAATCCTTTTGGCCTTTCTCTTCTCTTAAAATCTAGCCTTGGCTGTGAAGTTCTGGTAAATTCCAGTCTGGGTTAATTAGATTCTTCTTATCAAACAATTTCTTAGTCCTAGGCCTGAAACTGGGGGAATTTTTTCTCTAATTCCCATCTCAGTCTCAATACTGAATTTTTGCAAACACATAACAACTATAATATGTGTGATGAAGCTCATTCCCACCCCCTTGGGGGAAAGAAAAGAAAAGAAAAGAAAGGAGTCAAGGGGAAGTCCTTGACCATCCTAGCCCCTGCATGTTCTTTAGCATCTCAACTCAACGGCCATTTTTATGTGACTAGGAAGTATCCAAGAGGGATTGGAATCCAGAACCTTCTTACTCTGAATGCCAGCACTCTTTCCTCAAGAGCCACTCTGGCTCTGAAAACATGAGACAATATCTGTAGGATAATAGTGGCACCATTATTGTGGCTATTAACCCTTGCCTTTGAAACATGAATAAAGAAACTCCAGAAACTCCCACTGGTTTCAGAAGCACCATAGTAATTGTGTAGAAGGAGCGATGGCAAGGTTTCAGACAGAAAGTATGAACAACAGCTGCGCTCAGGAAATCCTGTCCCCTAGTCCATTTCTCTTTTCAGGTAGCTACTCCCACTCTCACCCTCGCCTGAGCCTCTCTTCCTTCTTAGCTTTTTGCTAAAGTTTCTTTCTATAATATCATAAAGTCACAGAACTGGGGACCTGGGAAGGAGTCCTGTAGTGATTGGAGCCCAGTCCATGTTTGAGGAACAGCAGTCCCTCTCAAGATCTTGCTAAGTTCTCACCCATTGAAGGACTCGAAGAAGTCAATCCGCTCAACTGGAGGTAGCCCACTCCTCCTTGGGACAACTCTCCTTGGCACAAGGTTTTTCCTGATATCCAGCCTCAATTTGCCTCTTTTGCAATTTGGATCCATTGGCACCAGGTCTGCCCTTTGGGGTCTACTAGAAAAACAGAAAGATTATTTCTTACCTCTGAGGTCAGAGGGTCTGGGTTCAGATCCCTCCTCTGAAACTGATAGTCAGGGTAACCTTGGGCCAGTCACTTTTCTTCTCTGGCCTCATTTTCCCAATGCATAAAATGAGGGTGTTGGATTAAATGGCTTCTAAGGTTCTTTCCAGCTCCACAGCTAGGATGCTAAGACTATCTCCCTTGCAAATGACAGTCTTTCAAATATTTGAACACAACATCATGCCTTACCTGACTTTTCTGGTCTCCAGGATAACCCCCCCCCCCCCCCCCCCCCCCCCCCCGTCTTTCAACAGATCAGAAGATTTAAGCATATTTGTATTGTGTGGTGGGGGAGGGGAAGGCTGGGTCAAAGAAATGACTATCTCTGGGTATCAGGCCTTTGGCCTTAGGACTTATTCTGCAGTAGAGATGGCATGATGCCAGTCTTGAGAGAGGATTCAGAGTTAGGTTTGGCCTTGAAAATCCTTGGGACCTTTCTCTTCCTTTGAGATGAATCATGGGACACAATATCCTGGTAAATTCCAACATGGTATAATTAGATTCTCTAATCAAATTGTTTCTTGATCCAAGGCCTGGCTCTAAGAGATTTTTCACTTTGATATTCATCTCAGTTTCAACATTTCTGTTTCAAAAACACATAGGAAAAAATATGTCCATAATAGGAAGAAAAAAAGGAAGGAAGGAAGGAAAGAAGAAAGAAAGAAAGAAAAAAGGAAGGAAGGAAACAAGAAGGGAAGGAGGGAAGGAAGGGAAGGTGAGGGAAGGGAGGGAAAGAAGAGGGAGAAAGGAAGGAAAGCAAGGAGGACAGAAAGAAGGGAGGAGAAACATAAAATTCTAGTTTCCTTACATTCTTGTTGTTTTGTTTTGTTTTTTAGGCAATTAGGGCTAAGTGACTTGCCCAGGGTCACACAGCTAGTAAGTGTCAAGTGTTCCGCCTGAGGTCAGATTTGAACTCAGGTCCTCCTGACTTCAGGGCCGGTGCTCTATCCACTGCCCCACCTAGCTGACCCTTCTTTACATTCTTTAGCACCTTCATTCAGTGTCTGTTGTCCAAATTTAACAGCGAGGTGGCACCATAGTGCAGACAGCACTAGGCCTAGAGTCAAGCAGACTCATCTTCTTGAGTTCAAATCCTACCTCACTTAGCAGCTGTGTGACCCTGGGCAAATCACTTTACTGCTCTGTGCCTCAATCCTCTTACCTATAAAAGGAGAGGTTTGACTCAATTCTCTCTAAGGTCCCTTCCAGCTCTAAAGCTATAATCCTATGATCTTTAATGTGTTTTGCATATATCTATCCCTTGTTTTCCCCCATATTCTCTTGTTCACAATATCTCACTTTTCCTTTTAATTTCTACCAGCCACAGGTAAAATTACATGATGGGTGGAGGGAAGAGAAGGGAATAAGCATTTATATAGCACCTACTATGTTCCAGACACTGTGCTGGGTGCTTTAAAATTATGACCTCATTTCATTCTCACAACAATCCTGGGAAACAAGTGTTAGTATTTCACCCATTTTATAGATGAGGAAACTGAGCCAAATAGATGTTAAGTGAATTGCTCAGAGTCACACAGCTAGAACATATTTGAAGTCACATTCAAACTCGGGTTTTCCTGACTCTAGGGCCAGCACTCAATCCACTGTGCCACCTAGCTGTCTCATGACATGATATCATAATAATGCAAAAAGACACTTAACATAGAAGCATAAGACAAATAAATGGCAAATTGTGCTAACCAGTAAGCACCATCACTAACCATCATCCTTACCCAAAAGGAAGCTTCTCCTATCTCCAGAGAAGGAAGGTTTCACTTTTCAGTTGTCCCTGGACCAGGCTGATAACAATGTTCAGCACCCAGTCCAAAGAAGCTGAGAACAAACTCATGGCATGACTGCCTGTGCTGGATGGCCCCTCCACGCCTGGGTCCCCGGTGTCTCGCACACTGGTAGTAAGTGCTTAGGATTCTGTGGCCAGTGTTGCCCCGGCATACGTGTGCACAGTCACTCCTTTATCAGAGTCTGAAAATGTGCCGTTGGCGCGAAGATGGACCTGCGCGGTGTTCTAAAGTCTCAGTAGGAGGAGGTGACATTCAGGGATGTGTCCTGGCTCCGTAGCCTTTCCCCACTCCTACCCCCGGATTTGTTTAGTTTTCTCCGGCATCCCCAAATCTCATTGGTGTGCTTCCCCATGGCACTACTTGGCACTGCCAGACTCTCATGTGAAGTTCTGTGGGATATGGTTTGAATGAAGAAAAAAATAGTGTTTCTTTAGGGATAATTTCTCTCTCTCTCTCTCATGCACATACTATAAAAGGGCAAACAACAGAAAAAAATCTTCTTCTTGTAACAAACACACTTGATCCAGATCCAGATTCTTTGGAAAACATCACACAGTTAGCCTGATTTTGAATGGGTCGCTCAATTTGCTTAAACTTGGTTCCCTCATCTGTAAAATGGGCAAAGGAATCCCTGCCTCGCCTAGCTTCCAGAGGGTTGTGAGATGTGTGTGGATAAATCAAGGTAATGTGCTATGATTTCTATTATCTCTTAGCTTAGTTCTTTTTAGGTATTGAAAAAAAAATCTAAAATCTAAGACCTGTGAAATCCTTTTTTTCCCTTCCTATATCACAACTTGATTTCTCTGCTTAAATAAGATTCCTCTCTCTGTGCACATGTGCCAGCTTCCTCATTTACAAGGCTGTCTCTCCCTCTCCTTTCCATTTCAGATCTTTCCCATCCTTCAAGGCTCAACTAAGATTCCCCGTCTCCACGAAGCTGGTCCTGATTTCCCTGATCAACCACACCAAGTACTTTCCCTTCAGGAGGGGAAGCTTCTTGCGGTTTTCTTTTCTGTTATTTCCCTTCACTGTTGGTTTTTGTTGATGTGTTCTTATGGATTTATTTTTCTTTCCTAATTGTTTCTGGGGGCTTGGGGTAGACCCTGAAAAGGGCCAAGGCAAGTAAGAGAGCCCAGAAGAACTTGGTAAACTTTTGTTGACCTGGTGTGGGTTGGGAGGAGTGTAAGTTTCAGTCACACTGGCTGTGGTAGGTCAGGAGCCTCGTCCAGCATTCCCAATTCAATTTTTGCAATGTTTAAGAACTGTGCATCATGGATGCTACTGAGATTTTCATTCAAGGCACTGGGCCAGACAACACCATGGAAGGGTAAAGAGCTATCAAGTGAATTTCCAGCTCTCCCTAGTTCCCTGGGAACTATTCAGATTTGGAGAGAGGCTTGGATTGTTTCAGAGGCTCCCTAGTGTGATCAGGTAGGCCTTCTTTAAACATTGAACTGGGAGGACAGTGTAATGGCAGGTGAGGAGTTCTCTGACTAATCAGATAAACTTGGCAGGAGGTGAGTCTGTTGGGGGTTCTGTTTCTCTATCCCATGGTCACTTTGTTAAGCTTGTTAAGTGGACTAAAGTCCACCTCTCTGCTCTCCTTGGAGCCCATGGGGGATGAGCTTCAGTGGCTGTGACTGACCCCTCAGCACCACAGCTTTGATTCCTGGGAGGAACAGTCCTTGGCACTCACCTCTAAAGGGGAGCTGACATACCTGCCCTTTGGGCTTCTTTCCATCTTTTTTATTCTGCTGTTCTCTGGCAGATAATGGTGGTAATGGTGGATAGGTGGGATATGTCCTTCTCTCCTTCTCCACTAGGAGCGATTAAAGTGTGCTTTAGGGAGAAGCACACCTGAGAGCTACATATGTTTAAGTACACAGCCCTAGAGGAGAGTCCCTGGCCACCTGCTGCCTTTCTTTTGCTTCTTTAAGAGAAGCCCAGAGATCAGAGACTTGAGAGTGGGTTTTCCTGGCCTAAGAGATGGCAGTAGCCATTGAGAATCACATGGGAGCTGTATGTGTGTGCCCACATGGCACCAAAGGGGAGTTAATGGAAAATGTCATCCATGAATTCTGGTCTGCTAGTTGGGGGTGGGGAGATTGGGCATTGTAGGGGAGCATAGTCCCAGAATGTCAACTTCTAGTCAGAGAAGGGAGATTCCTGGTGTAGCGTCAGCCTTGGGGGTTGCCTCACATGAGTAACCCCAAGTTGAAGGGTTCAGAGAGCTGGTCATCTCTCTAGAGAAAGGAATTTCCCTAGAAAGAGAAGAGGGTTTGCTCATGGGACCCTCTCAGCTGGAGGAACTTGAAAGGACTAAGGCTATGATTTGGGAAGAGGACGTGTGGGCATGAGGCATTCATTATAATATTGCGACATTGCCCCTCTGGAAATACCACATTTAGTTCCTTTCTAAGGAGAAAACAAACAATGGGTAGACTTGAGTAAGAATGTAGGGTCCCATGGAAAAAATGGAACAGATGAGGGAAAATTGTCTCAATTTTTTTATGGACTATTGAGAATCCCTTCATGTGTTTTCTATGTTAAGGGACTTTGCATTTTGTGTATTTCCTCTGGGACGAAATAAAGGTTACTTTGTACTTGTTACTTTCAGTGCATTTAAATTATTTGGAGACCTAGTTATCCACATCCATGGAAGCCTAGATCCACGTATATTCAGACATTTCCCAGATCTAAATCTAGGTGGAGGCATAATGATCCAGAAAGAATTTATCTTTTGGCTCAGCCCCCAATGAATCCAAAATGGAAATCATGACCTTTCCCCCTAATCTCTCTGCCCCTTCTCTTCCCTATTACTATAGAAGACAATACTACCCTTCCCTCCTTCAGGCTCCCAACCTAAGAGTCGGCCTGGATTCTTCACTATCTCTCACACCCTATATCCAAGTTTTTGTGGAGGCTAACCGATTTCACCTTATCAGCATCTCTCCAATATGCCTCCATCTCTCCTCTGACACTGCTCCCACCCTGGTGCAGGTCTTCCTCACCTCAGGCTCAGACTACTGCAATAGCTGCTGGGGCATCTATGTGCCTCAGGTCTCTTTCTACTCGAGTCCACTCTCCGTTCAGGCACCAAAAGTATTTTCATAAAGCCAAAGTCCATCATG